TTATGATATATGCTTCTTCCTCCTCCAAAAATCCTTTAAATCCTTTAAATTACATATTTTATAATTTTCATAACATTTAACAGTTATTCAAGATGATCAAAATTTAATTGAAACATTTTGGATGTACATATGCGAAAATTAAGATAGATAATTTAATATAATAATAATAATTTTCTATATATATATATGATTATTTAGAATTGTTGACTTTTTTAAATTTTTATTCTATTATCTCTATTGATTAATTAAAAGAATGTTTCATAGAATGATGAATAGTTTTAACTAAAATAATAGTAATTTCAATAGATATATATTTGATATTTTTGTATATGTAGTTACAAAAAAGATTATCTTAATGTTTAAGAAATTTAAGTGGCTATTATATTACTCTAGTTATTGTGATAATAGATAGTAGAGATATATTGCTATTTTTTACTTTTCCTTAAATCAACATAATTATTTCAAATACAGCGTTATATTTTTTCACTTTTTATTATAAGTGAAGATTCTCTCTCAATCCAACAAATCTAATTGTGTTTGCAACATTAATAAATATTTTTAATAACTATTTTTTATACTAATGAAGATGGAATATTTAAAAATTTATAAACTGACAACATAAATTAGATTTTAATACTAAAAAATATTTAAAAAAGATTTTATAAGTAAATTTCTTGCTAAAAATGTAATAAAAATAAATAAATAACTATTAACGTCGAAAATGGTGAATGACTTTGAATATTGCACAATTGGGGTGCCTAAATTGATACTACTGCTTGAAGTACCACCTACTACTGTAGGACTGTATATTCGTTTAGATTAGCTAGTTTAGATTAGATGAGCTTTGAGTAAACGAATGGTGGTACTTTAACTCTTTGCGACTAATTGTAATGATTCTAACTATATTTTAATATATATTGTGTCGTCGTCGAATTTTATTTTTTCAGTTTTCTATTTCTATTTTAACTCAATTACAAGACTGTCGCGAGCCTTGCTTTTTCCTCTAATTTTTGCTTTTCGGGAAAAATGTATAGTGAGAGAGAGTTGGATGGACCAATAGTCGCATTGGAGGGCGGCCTCGAAGGATGGACTCTTTCAAGGTCGCGTCCTAGCGTATACAGGTCAAGACTTTCGCGTTCGCTCCCATGATGGTCCATCGCATGGCAAATGTGGCTTGTGAAATGGCCTTTGTTGTGGTATCTTTATTTAAATTAAAGATTTGAAAAACATTAGGAAAACCAGCCCTCTCATAAATTATTGTTAGGCCATTAATGGTACTCGAATTGTTAAAAATAAAAGTCAGGTTACGCGACCGCTTTACAAGCTCAGTCCTTAACAGTAACGCTGTAAACTAATTCATTTTTTTAAAAAGAAAAATATTGCATATCAACCAAAAGAAAAAAGAACATACAGAATGATAATAGAAAAACCTACATTATTTTATTTTAATATTTCAGAAAAAGAAATATAAGAAAAATTAAAGTTTTAAAAACAATTCAAAAAATAAAGATTTTAAATATTTAAATTAGAAGTAACATAAACTAGAAAACCATAACTAGAAAATAAAGAAATTTTTATTCTTATTTTTTATTGATTAAAAATCCAATCATAAAAATATATGAAATCGCGTATCTATTATATTTATAGCAATATCAAAGATATGATGATATAATCATATAAAAATATATTGTATAAAATTCTATTGTTAAATATGTTAAATACAGAGAAATATTTTTTCAAGGAATGAGAAATATTTTTTCAAAGTCATTCATCTATTAAGTACTTTATATAAGTAAGATTAGATAGATTATTAGATAAGATTAGATAGATATTAAGATAGATTAAGTATTTTATATGATGAAGCTTATCCAAATTATAAAAATTACAACAATTATAAAAAAATACAAAAAATTAGAAACATGTCAATCAATAAAAGACATATATATCGAAATCATATAGAAAGAAAAAACATAAGTTATGCTAATGTAACGAAATATAATAGCAAAAACAGATAATTAAATTAAATTAATATTGAATATTAAATATTATTGAAGAAGATAATATACTATTTAGATCTCTTAAATCCTGTTAATTAAATTTGAAGTCTTTTTAACCCTTAAAAATAAGATTGGATATCTGTTTTTTTCGATTTATTGACAAAATCAATAAATTCTATATGATAATTTCTTTTAAATTTTGGAAGACAAATTTGTTGAGGGAATTACACGAAGCATCTCGAGTTTGAGACTCGCCAATTCTAAGGACAAAAAATTCTATAAAATTTTGCAATGGAAAGAATATAATAATGTAAATACTGGTATCTCAATATCTCATTAGCTTTCCGACATGTCAAATTTTAGATATTTTTTGTTACAAAAATATATCAGAAAATTAAATTGCAATCTTTTATTTACACTTTAAGATTATATTAACCATAAATTCGACTCTAATAGACAAAATAAGAAAAATTTCGTTCCATGATCATAAAATTATTAGATGATTAGATAAAATTCAATAAAAAAATATATAAATATAATAAAAAAATAAATATGTAAATCTAAAATTTCAACTTAAAAATACAAATGACGAAAAAGGAATAACTCTGATACAAAATATTTAACAAATAAAACTAAATAATAAATATTTCAAACTGTCTCAAACAAATAAAAATTAAATTTATAAAAAAAAAGTGGTAGGTATTTAAGGACTTATCCCTAATATACAAATTTAATAAATTAAATAAAGGATTAAAAAAAATTTTATATGAAGATAAAAATGAAAATATAGAAACGAAACTATAAAAAAATCTTTTAAAAAGAATAACATATGAACTAGAAATAATAAAAATATCACAGAAACATTTAATACAATACATCTTTCTTAAGACATTGAATAGGAATATAGAATGATGTTGTATAAGGATAGTATTTTTAAAAGAAGAATTTAGAAGACTCTTGAAATTGTATATTTTTTAAGAATACTTCGGCGTGACTGAATGTATGAACATAAGGCTTGAGACATAGCATATTTTCTATGTCAATTTCAATGAAATATTCAGTGCGTCATATAGATCAATGCTACTTTTATTACTCAAAATTTCTTGAAAAATATAATTATAAAATGTATTAAAATTTTTGTTGTATAAAAAATAAAATTCTTCAACATTAATTTGGATTGTATGAGAAGCATTTAATAATTGAAAAAGTACATAGACTTGAAAATTAAATTGAAAATTATCATAAACAGCAAAAATTTCTGCAACACAAAGTACTTTATAGATATTAAAATATAATTATATAATTAAATTATATTTTCTATATATTTATTATTTTCTATTACAATCTGAAAAAAAAGTCGAAAAGTTTTTTTTTATATTTTTTTTCACAACGTTTTCTAATAGCTTTTCAAGTTTCTATTCTAATGATTGTTTTGCAAGTTGTGCCCTTGAATCAATTCTGTATTAGATTTTTATAACAGATTTTCCTATCTCAAATAGTATATTTACAACTATTTATATGAATAAGTTTTGCATAAGCATTCAAAAATCTTATAGAAATCCATGAAATCAAAGCAAATGAAAAATATAACAAGAATGAAAATCAAAATAATGAAGTATTAATAATAAAGTATCATATTAGATATTTAAGTATACATTTAAATAAAAAAATTTATCTGGAAAAAATATTTATAACATTTGGAAAATAAAATTAAATAAAATGAATTATCTTAAATCACAGTTTTTATTAGAGAATAAATTTCTTTTATATAAAGTCGCATTTATCTTTATATATAGAACTTAACTATACGAAAATTCTAATAAATTCAAAATAGATATCATTCAATGATTCCGAAATAAAACTTTTAGCAGAGATAATAGCATCTTCTTCATACACGAGAAATAAAAATCTTTCTAATGACTTAAATATAGAGTTAGAATGTATCAATATACAAAAAAATATGTATATAAACTTAAATTAGTAAATCTTCCAAATATATTGAAAAGCTTATTGATAATTTAATAGAAATAAGACAGTTGAAAAGATTAAACTTCCAAAATTTTACATACAATAAAATCTAATTTTAAACATTGAACTGTGAACAATTATATTCAATAAATAACAGTTATATATAATAACAATTATATTCAATAAATAAAATGTATATATATTTGTTAAATAAATGTAGTAAAAAAACTAATATAATGCGGATTTAAAAAAATGAGTAGAAAAAAAATTATATTGTTTCAATTATGATAGTCTAATAAATTTTTTTGACTTTATAATTAAAAACTTTTATAAAGTGTATCTGTTTTGTTTTCATAAATAATTATAATTCAGAAAAATTCACATATTTCATACTTTATTATTATATTATTGTCTTGATTATTTTATATATTTATTTATATATATTAACAATACTTCTTGCCTGAGATAGAAATATTAGAAGAGTAGTTTAATTTTCCATTCGAAGATTTCTATCGTAATAACTGTATTTTGTGACAATAGAAAACCATTATGAAAACTATCAATCTTATCAGAGATACGTATTATTACGAAATAAAATAAATAAATCGATACATTAATAAGTATTCTCTTTAATTATAAATTTTATAAATATCATATAATATGTAAGTTATTATAGACAAAATAATTTTAATGTATGCATTATTATCATATGCAACATTTTCCGTTTTATGAAAAAATATTTCTTTTAAGTATTATTATACTTCGAAGAAAATTTTAATTCTGTGCATGATGCAATGATTTCTCTTTGCACCTGTTTCATACCATATGTTATGGTAATATATAATGCAATCAATAATTATTGCCATCTGGTTGACCAGTAGTAGGAAAAATACAAATTACTAACATGTTATTAGTTGATACACTGAGTATGCTTTATTAAATATTTTATATTTAAATAATACCCTCTACATATCGCATCATTGCATCAGTTAAATTCTATTTCATTCAATTCTTAAGACAAACAGTTTCTAGAAACCATGTTGAAACAAGTAACTCCAGAAAAGAGTATTTATATTATTTGGCTTAGCGTGGCTTTGTCTTTTTGTTGGCCACTTCCTGTCAATAGTAGCAGAAAACAAATTATGTGCATAAAAATTTTACAAATTAGTGCCGTTATTAGCGCATTTATGGTACTTTTACCTTTAATTTACACGATTCATTTGAATGTGCATAATCTAATCAATCTTTTCCAATGTATTTGCTTATTGATATGTGCATTTAAACATATTATACAAACTGTCATATGCTTCATAAAATATAACGCTTTACAAGTAAGTTTTTTTTTACTCATTTTTAGTGTTTGATTAAAAAGATATATATTTTACTTATAAATTATAGCGTGTAGTCGAAGAAATGATGACATGTGTTAAAGAAGAACAACTATATGATATTTTGTGCATGTATGTCAAAAAATGTAATATTTTCTATGGAGGAACTATTGCATTAATATATGGAACTGCAACTGTTTTTGTATTAGGACCTATATTTTTGCCAATTTCTTTTCCATGGGGAACAAAATATCCATTTCAAGTTAATTATACCACAATAAATGTCATTATATACGCACATCAATTTTTTTTTGCTTATCAATGTGCTGCGCATACATGTTTAAGCTTATTTGGAGCACTTCTTCTTTGGTTTGCAACTGCAAGATTTGAATGTTTAATTAAGGAATTACAAAAAATTACAAGTATTGATATGCTAATCGTTTGTCTTAAAAAATTATTATTTTTAAGAAGGTGAGTTTTTTGTATCACTTAAATTATTCATTTTATTATTGTTTATTTTAAATAAACAATAAAATTTTAAATAAACAATAAATTTATTTTAAATGGTTTTTAGATACGCAGAAGAAGTTGTGAGTTGTATTCGTTTTTTGGTATTTTATGCTATAGCAATAAGTACATTTACTCTGACTTTATCTGGTATTATAATGATCATAGTAAGTGAAATTTATATCGCTATGTCTATAATATAATGAATTAATATTGTGATTTATAAACAGAATTGCCCATTATTTATGAAAATAGAATTCATAACTATATCTATATCTCTTCTTGTGCAAATTTATATTTATGCGTGGCCAGCTGATCACATGCAAGATATGGTAAGTCACATTTACATTTTAAATAATAAAAATAAATAATCATAAAAAATTTTTTATGATTATTTATTATTAATCAATTAAAATCATACAATAATTCACTAAATTATTTTGAAAAATAAAATTTATATCGTTAAATTAACTTTCTTTATGAATTTTTTATTAGAGAAACAAGCGATGAAAAATATGAAAGTAAAGATAGTGCTATTTTTTTAGAAAATTATTTAATTATATGAAATTTAATAATTCTTATTTTTAATTTTGATTAAAGAAAAAAATATATCAATAATTTCAAGATATATCAGAAAATTATATTGTAGTTGGATATTTATCTTGTATATATATATATATATATATATGAATTTTATGAATTTTATGAATTCATACGTATTTAATGTTGTAATGAAATGAATTTATAAAATTGTACTTTGAAATCAATGTAATATATGAATAATGATATATAATAATAAATATATAGTAATATATGAAAATAGTGGATAGTAATATATGAATAGTATATATGTAATATATGAAATTCTTATAAAAAAATATTTTATTTCTAAATACAATATAATTTGAACAATGAACTAAATTTTTTCAATTTCATAGATTCGTCTGATTTTTAGAAAAAATCTATTTTCATTTTTATGTTCAATTGCTTAGTATATAAAAATATAGAAAAATTAATTTAACGAAATAGAAATAAAAATGTTTTTCTTTAATATTATAATTTTCTTTTATAAAAATATAATATTCATTTTAAAATATTTTAACTATAAATTTTAAAATTCTAAATTTAATACTATCAATTAATACTATAAATTTAATTACTATAAATTTATAACTATAATTTATAAAATTCAGTTCTTCAGAACAATTGATCTTTCATAATTCCTAGAGCATAAATGTTTTACGAAGTGCATACAACTCAATATGGTATGAACAAACATTAGATATGCAAAAAACTTTGCTGACAATGATGACATATCAAAAACCAGTAACTTTTTCCATTAATGTTTTATTACCAGAGCTTACTTTACGTTATTGTTGTTCGGTAAGACAAAATAATATTCAAATATACATTTTGATAAATGAATAAAGTATTTCTAATTATTAATTTTATTCCTAATTATATATTATTAACATTTCAGTATGTATCAAATGCTCTTTCTATTTTCACAGCTTTACGAGCTGTGATAGAAATTACATGAATATAAATGTATTCTAAATAATTATTAATATATAATGAAGTCTTCATTATAATAGTCATTATTAGAAAATATGTAATGATAATTATGATAATCATGAGCAAATTCCATAATTGTTAAAATTATTATGGAATTTATCAATATTCTTGTATTATATTGAAAATAAATATGCGTATATAATGAAATATTAATTTTTCTATGACAGTAATACTTTAAATTTTTTAATATTTAATTATAAATTTTAAATATTTAATTATAAATTAATAATATTTAATTTAACAAATTAAATTATCATAAATATTATGCAAAAAATATGTTTTATTTTTTCTTTTATTATCGTTGTTGATGATGATGATGATGATGTTCTTATTGTTATTGTTGTTTTAATAGAAAAATGATGTGATGACAAGTGGAATTGAATGAATACGTATTGAATGGATATTGTATAAATTGTTTTAAATATTTAAAAAATGATGATCATTTTTATGATGAAATTAGATTTATTTTGTACATTATGGCATTTATTAATTTATGATTCTTATTAATTTGAAGCTAATGCCAATTCATAAAATGATATTTTTAAGTTATTTCTTAATTATCATATTTGATCATATATTTGATCATATATTTGAACATATTTATTTAATAATAATAAAATAATAAAATAATAATAAAATAATATTTAATAAAATATTAGAATCTTTTATTTAATGTAGTAGTTAAATAAATTAAATTTTGAAGATATTATCATATTTATCAATGAAATATGGAAAATTTATGGATGAAACTTCTCATGATATAATATGAAATGATTATGTAATATATATAGAAATAGATAATTATTTTTTTCTTTTTGTTTTCTTTTTTGTTTATTATGTGATATTTCTGAAAATAAATTCCCAAACTTAATATAAAATAGATATGATATCTTATAGAATTGTATTGGAATTTTTTACAGTATCAGCATATTGACAGAGAAATATGACTTAGTGAAGAGAAGAAATAAAATTTTAAATTCATAATTTTTTTGATTTCCAAGATAATAATGAAAATATTTTTTTTATTAAATATTGAAAATTGCATATGTTATTGATATTATTATTAATTAAATTATCGACGATCCATATAATTATTAACATAATAATTGTACTATAATAATCGTTATTATTATGTGATAATGAATTGTGGAATTCATAATAATATAATCACTGTACTATAGTAACTATTATTATTAAGTGAAATAGCTAATCATATTTTGGATATCATACTTATAATTCATTAAAATTTTAATCATTCGTTGTCAAAAAATTAAAAATATTGAAATTAAAATATTAAAATTTAACTTATAAATATTTCATATAGATTGATATTTTATATAGATATTTTATATAAATGAATTCAATTTAACATTAATCTGCTCCTGAATAAATTATTTCAATTAATATCCTCATAATTTTTAGAAAGATGAAATACAAATAAAAATAAAAAAATCAATATGTAGATAGAAGTATTTATCGTTATAACAATTTCTATTACTATATTTCGAAAAAAACCATCTTGATTGAATATTAGATTATATTACTCAATTAAAATTACAATCTTGGAGCTAAATTTAAGCGAATTTATTTTTTCTTCTTTTTCTTTTTAATGATTTAAAATATATAAAATTATAATCAATTCCTCTCATGAAATTATAAATAAATTTGTTGACATTGTATGTGAAATTGTGAAATTTATACTGTTATATTAGATTATTGTATTTATAAGTTTATAGATAAGTGATAATATTAAAATTAATTAGTGTATTTATTGACTAAATTTAAAGAAATATATCTTTTTAATCTGTAATCGTTAATATCGATATGACCTAATTTTTCAACTATTCTAGTGAATTTTTATGTTCTAATAATTAGTATATGATATTTGCTATAGTTTGATATTTCTTTTAACGGTTTATTTGTTTAAATATTGCAAGGTCATTGTATTATGTCATAGAGACATATTGAGACATTGTATATGTTACGAAGAGTTTTTGATTGAAATCTTTGTATGATTTCAATGTTCGAATTATGTATTGTTGTATTCCATAATTGTATTCTATAGACCTAAACAGATTTCATAATGACCTTGTATATCAATAGTGTGTTTTCTAATTTTAATTTAGAATGTTTTTTTAGTACTTAATACAGCTTTTCTACTTTTATTTTAAGTGCACATTTTTTTTGAATATATTTTTTAGTTTTCTATCTAGAATCATGCCAAGATATTAAACTGATTCATTTTGTGAAATTATTATATCATTTAATTTCACCAGAGAATATGTGTTTTTGCGCAAGGTAAAAATGATGTGAATGATCAATTTATTTTCATTTATTTGTATGTTCCAGTTTTTAAAATAACTAATTATATTATTCAGATAATGTTCTTGTAAATTTTTAGAGGCTTCAGAAGGAACGTCATTGAGGCAAGAATTACTGTATTGACAAATGTGGATGTGATTGTTTTTGAAAAAATTAAAATATCTGTACTATAGATTAAATACAGAATGGATCTAAACATACTTTGCAGAATTTCAGAATTAATTGAATAAATTGAGATAATTATATTTTGATATCGAACTTTGAATTTTCTAATTAAGTATGATGATATTTCTCTATAATATAATAAAATGTGAAAATTTTTTTTATTTTATATAAGATACCAGTGTGTTACACGATATCAAATATCTCTTTAAAAAAACAATATCATTTGTATTTTTTTTTTATATATAATCGATTAGTTGAATTTGTTGAAAAAGTCGAAATGCTGTTTTTTAAATTATTAGGCATTATGTTTGATTCAGTTAGAATAGGTTCTATGTGTTTTATTAACAATTTTTTAAATAATTCTTGGTAATAGAGCAATATTTATATAGAGTTATAGCAAATTAAATTTATCAAACTTAATATTTATTATCAAACTTAATTATTATAATATGTAAAATTTTCCATTGATTAGAGAAGTATCCAATGCGGCATTGAATATTGAAGTTAATATGAAACTTTTCTTAAAAAGCTCTAACTATGTTACCTATTAGATCAATTAGATCATGACTTTTAAAAGTTTATTTTTGTAGTTATCATTAGTTTGATTTCTTTTGATGAATCATTTGACAGATGGAGAAAGATAGAGTTTGCAAATACTCTTGAATTTCAAATTCTGTTGTTTAAGAATTAAAGAGTTTAAATACTTTAATAAAAAGTATTAAAAAGTATTGCTAAATGCATTTACTTTTTCCTAAAAAAACTCAAAATCTTAACTCAAAATCTCTGTTGATCTCAAAATGGTAGAAATCTTTATTTGTAATTTTGTAATTCTTTGTTACCTTCCAAAAAGAGTAGTTGGTGTTTTTAGTTAGTGTCAGACTATTTAAATACTCGCTAAAGGATTTATTTATATATTTTTATATTTTTGTTTTTGTTTAGTAATCGGATGAATTTTCTAATTGCTCTATTTAATAGTCTTTTATTGTTAAGAGATCTAATATTTTTCCATGTTTTTAGTTTTCTCTTTTCAGTGATCTACTTCATAATGAATTTTGATTAATTGGTACTATACTGACTGATATATTGAATTATTGCAGGAGTTGCGGATTCAGTTGCTTCTATAATAAAATATATAAAATATTTCACTGCTTTTGATTATTTTAAATGAATTTTAGTGTAATATAATATAATGTACGTATTATGTCACTTTTTATTTAATAAAAACTTATCTCGAATAAGATATAGTAAATTCCAAAATATTAACACATATAGCACATTATTTAAATCCATAAATAAATCTATAGGAGTAAATCGAACTTCCAGATTTCAGATTAGAAAGGTTAAATGTATTTTTCTATACATAAATACATTATCCCATATACAAGAAAATCAAGATAATGATACTTGAATCATCATATATTTGAATCAATTTGAAATTCACAGATCAATTGAAGAATCAGTTGAAAAACTTTTGTCTCTATTTCATTTGAATTCAATGTTTTTTATTCCGATATAAGATTACTAAACAAAAAAAAAATTTTTTTTAATTGAAATTCAATATCTATATTTTAATCATATCATATTAATACCATTATAAATCTTATATCTTAAAAAAAAAAACATATAAAATACTAAAAAAATATTTAAAAAATCATATAAAATAAAATAAAAATCATATAAAATAAAATAGAAATTGCACTTTTCTTTTTCACGTTATTACACGTTTGCATGTTAGATACTTTTTTATTCACTATTCACATTACTATTTCGAATAAATCATATTTTAATTATTATTTATTATTATATATTTTAATTTTATATGAAAATTATTTAATTAAAATTTTATTTTAAACAAATATTCAAATATATATTATTTCATCAAATTCTGAATTTGATTCCGCGATGCGATAATATATTACTGAAATAGCGTTGCTAATAATTGAATGCTGGGCGTTAGAAAAAAAGACTTGATACAAAGAAAAAATGAAATAATAATATTCGAAATCGAATGTTATATTTGTGTGTATTGAATATAAGAATATGAAGTTTTCCCGTTACTAAGATTTTGTTCTGGATTTGGTTCGTAACGTTTATATAACGTATATTAGAAATAAGAATATAAAAAAAAAAAATTAGTGAATTTGTAATATCCATTTAAACATACATAAAAAAAGCAATTAATATAGATATGATATTAATAGTAATATTGATTCATTTCATATTATTAATAAGTGATATCTAAATTGATTATTATTTCTCTCTGTATAAAAATAAGAAATATTGAGTACAAATGAAATAAAGATAAAGATAAAGATTTGATAGTGATATGATTGGATTAATAATCTGAAATTTAAATTGATTCAAATATTTCGGACTTTCTTACATATATAAAAATAATTAAAAAAACTTTATACATATAAAAACACATTCAATCTTTTTAATTCGAAATCTTATTAAACTATGTTTCGTTTTAGAAGTATGTTATGTTTCTATGAGTTTCGATAAGTACGACAGGTTGAATGAAATATGATTTATCTATGATTTTAAATCATATCATATATTATCATATATCATATAA